TTATAGAAAAAAAAAGTTCTTTTGTAACGATCAGTCAGGTTTTATCTCCGGTGACATAACAGTTAATTAATCATTAAACATACACTGTAAAAAATGTGCTTAGGAAAAAGACACTTCCATTACGTGTTTAGATCTAAACGTGTTTGATATTGTGTTTAACAACAAAACACTTATGTCTAAATATATTTAAAATCTATACACGTTTAGATATTAAACATGTTTTTTGTTTTATATTCGGTCATGTGCAGAGTTATCTTCCCGGAAATGATACATATTTGAACGTTAATAAGCGCGGTTGTCGAAACAAAGAAAATCACAACAAAACAGTAAACGATGTTTTCAAGAAAGCTGATGAGAACTTGAGTACCAACCACCCCAGAAATAGTGAAAAACATGTTATTGCTTATAGGGTATGTATGCTTTTGTTTCTATATAAAATAAACATGATGAGCAAAGTAAATAACATTGCACTTTATATCAAGGATGTCTTTCGGTGTCATATCATGAATTCATTAATGAGAGTAAATATTGAATCTATAGTTGCAATAATATTTATTTAAACATTTTTATTATATACTTAGTAATTAACGTAAAACTTCAGCATGTTCAGTAAGGAGTGCATACTGTTACTTAAATGCAACGTACGTCTTTTCTTACAGGTTAACTTAATTAGATAGCCGAGAGAAAGAACAAAATCCATTTCTGATAATGGATGTGAATTATACTGCCGTAGAAAATACCTTCAAGACTATCCAGATACTCTGCTGCTTTGTTTACATCACGACGGATTTGAAATAGTGATCCGTATTGCATCACACTGCAAGAGGCACACCATAGCTGGAGTCTTTTACATTTATATTTACTTTGTATTGTGCTACTGGTACAAAATGCAGACAATTCAACAACTTGGATGTTACTAACTCTTTAGATGCCATATAATTTTATATGTCAAAACTTCTAAAAGACTTTGTAACAAACAATGGAAACCATTCACAAGTAAAAGGAATTCTACCGAACAAAGATTCAGTGACTGTGTGAGAACACTTTACTGTGTGTTAGGCCTTTTTTATCATTTTAATATGACGTTTAGAAGTTAATAAAACTTAAAACGGACACACCTGTTATATTTTTGGTTTTCTTGCAGATCCTTGTTTAAAAATTGAAGTGTTTAGCTTCTAAACGCGAATCTAAGTGTTTAGAATTGTGTTTAAACTCTAAACATGTAAGCATTTAGGTTTAAAACACTTTCCATTACGCGTATTGAAATTCAACATGTTTAAATTTTAAACGCATTAAAAAAAGTGTGACAAGAATGTGCTTAGAAATGTGTCTATCATCTAAACACATTTTTTACAGTGTACCTAACGATATCGGTAGAGCATTAGACTCGGGGAGGTGCGTGCTGTGTTTTGTGATACAAGCAAAGCGTTTGACAGGGTTTAGCATAAGGGTCTGCTTTATAAACTACGACAAGCTGGGGTATCAGGTTGGTGCAATATTGAGGCTGGCGTGCCTCAGGGCTCAATATTGGGTCCATTGTTATTCCTTGTATATATAAATGATATAGTGTTTTATTAAATTATTTGCGGATGACACAACTTTATACATTATTGTTGAAAACCCGGCTATCACAAGTACGAATTTAAGGAAGCTCTAAACACTAACAGAAAGTACTTTTTGGACTACTTATTGAGACTATTTAGTTCATTTTCAACATGGGTACCTGCCTTATTTCGGCAGGAAAAATGTTTAAAGAAAAGGATTATTCTTAAACAGAAATCACTGTTCTTTACTTACAGTGGGGAAATTAATGTAAATAATGAATTCAATTACTTATTCTTGGTCTAATATAATGTTTAACATATTTTAATCTATTACAAATTGTGTAATTAACTGTAAATAACATTTTTTTAAAAAATCTTACTTCTAAGGCCAGATCACTCTAACTGCATAAAACTACCCTACACGTAGAATTCTTTTATGTGCAGCGTTTAGAGCTTCCCTAAATAGTGACCTCGACAAATTTCACAAATGGTCTAATCAATGGTTAGTTACATTTAATCCTCAGAAAACTGATAGCTTAACAATCAGTACCAAACGTAACAGAACCCCACATCCAGACCTGTGTTTGAATGAACAAAAGATAACTGAAGTGTCACATCAAAAACAGCTAGGATTACATGTACATTTTTCAGATAACGGTCTATGTTCTATCATGTTAATATTGTCGTGGCGAAAGCGTCGTCAAGGGTACACATTCTAAGACGAGTCAGATTTTTATTAGACAGAAAATCTTAAGAAAAACAATACTTTTCATTTGTAAGGCCAGATGTAGTTTGGGACAATATCCCAAACGATTTAGCTGATAAACTAAAAAAAATTAATATTGAGGCAGCTCGCATAGTCTCAGGTGCGACAAAACTCGTAAGCTTAAATGATCTGTATCGGGAAATTGGATGGGATACTTTGCACAGTAGAAGACAAAAACACAAAGTAATCAAATTTCATTCCATGGTCCATAGAAGTACTCCAGATTATTTATCTTCTTTAATCCTTTTAAGAATCATTGAAATACATCAATATCCCACAAGACGATCGCAACTGCATTACTCAGCGAAAGTTTAATACAAACCACTAAGCACAATCTTTTCTTCCGTCCACTTCAAAGCTTTGGAATGATCTTCCGATAAATGTCCAAGAGAATTCTTCAGTATCTAATTTTTAAAAAACCCGTGCTTAACACAAACCCTTATAAAACCCAAAAACATTTTCTATTTGGTAAGCGCAAAGAACAGATTTTTCACACAGGACTTAGCACACTTTTCTCATTTATTTGCAAAACATATAATAGATAATCCTTATTGTGCTTGGGGAAAAAAAAACTCTGAAACAACAACAAACTTTTTATTTGAATGTCCTCTCTACAATGACGCAAGGAAAAAAATCATTGACCCATTAGGAACAGTTACCTTAAGGATAAATAACACAACCAAACTTTTTTTTTCAGAAATCAGCAAAATTTCTGATAGATTTATATCCAAATAAGTAACATAATGTTTACCAGGTAAAGTGGGAGAACTTTGTAAGATTTTAAAAATGTTAAAAATATATTCAAAATTTTGTATAGAATTATATAGAAAACAAAACAAAGTGGCATATTTAAGCACCAAATAAAACTGACGATTTCTTTATACTTTAGGGATTTATTTTTCATATCATTTCAATTCAAAATCAGTCAAAAAATGTATATCAATCCAGGAATCCAATGTTTGTTTGTGTTATGTATCCTTAAGCATACTCTTATTTGGGGATCCATTAGTTTGGTAAAAATTAGGCTATTTTATGCGGTTTAGCCCCCGTCAGGGATTTAAATAATTTTTATCACGACTCGTTTTTGTAATATAACAAAGATTAATAAAATCATCAATTAAAATTTACTAGGTGTTTCGGCGAATCAAAGTCTAAATTTCGAAATATCCATATTTCTATGCAGATATCGACATGTCAGGCGCCATTCGAATTACGTCATATGGGTCAATCCCGCTCAAGCGAAGAACATATTAATCGGTTAATTATGATCTTATTGTGTTTACAAAACGGCTTGATATAATTATTGCATCTATGAAACCTGTTCGCACATGTAAAAATTTAGTGATAATTGAGTTACAAATGTATTGGCAGTTATTATAGTTTGGTAATATAACTGGTTATGTTTATTTTAACCCCGCTTCCCTCATTGCGATTGGATATACAATAAGCAAATGTAAGTAAGTAAGATGGCATGGGCCACTTAAATGTTTGTAATATTGATTTTTTAAATCATTGAATCGTAACTATAATATAACAATTATTACTGGCTTTTATTCAGTCAATATGATGATTTATCCACCTTCGAAGTACAATATATTCACCTCGTCATTCGGACTCGGTAAATATTATATTCTCGAGGTGGGTAAATCATCGTATTGACCACAAAACAGCAGTCACTGCATAATATTTATTCGATATCCCGAGTTGTCATCGGCTTGTTCCTCCCTTTCCTCGAGACTTGTCGGCAAATTTTCTTACAAATTTCGCTCTGCTAGAGAGAGGTTCATACAAAGTCTGAGCGTCCATTACCAAAAAAATATGGTCGATGACATTTCACCATACCATATATATATTACATGTAGTTGATTTATGAAAGGCTAAATTCATTCGTAACGGTTGTATTGTATGAGCAATTTGAGAATTGACATCTATGATATTTCAGCAAATTATCCACTTTTGTGTTATATCTGATGTATTTAAGGGTAATACCAAAGAAAGAGCAGTACCACGTAAAATGCTATCTATAATTCGTGGAGAGGGACCTTATTTATCACCTGATTACGACTGTTTTCAAGCTAAAATGATAATAATATGGATAAAGAATATCATTGTTTAAATTTTTTAAGAAATTAGAAGCATGACAAAAACTCTTTAATTGATATTACACTGAAAATATATTATAAATCATAAAATAATAACAAATAGATAACAATGGGTATTGAAATAATCTTGCTTTTCCGAAGTCCTATTTATCGACATTGTGATTTCCGAAGCAAAACATGTCGTGAAAGAATAATACTTAAAAGAAAAAAAAACTTTCCTGACGCTTTGAAATCCTTATACTTATTCCTAAACAACAACGTGTTTTAATTCCTTGCCGGAATACAGACAAGTCGTTATCTGGAGTATTTTTTTTCTGATAACGTTCGACGGAAAGGCCTCCTCTAAAACAAGGAACGTAACCAAATGCTTTTTGCAATTTAAAATTGTCTGTCTTCTACCATGCTTTGAAAATTCAGAGAGAGAGAGAGAGAGAGAGCTTACGAACTTCCTGTGAGAGTCACAAGCATTTTACTTCCTGTATCAAACTTCTAACACAGCAATTATTTAACCATTCTAACTCACATAGGAAGCATACTCGATAATTCTATGCCGTATTTCATTATCTGCCGAAATGGAGTGGCACGACGTTACACATTTGGCATTTCAGCATGTTCACTAGTGTTTTATTTGGAACATGACAGTCGTATTAGTGATATTGGTAAGTGTTGCTGTTACTCATTACCGACCATCACTTTGTGTAAGTGCCATGGTTGATTTGTCGACTTAAATGATTTTTGATATTATAAATCCGTTATAGGCTAGGATAGTGGACTTTGATTTATTGGGAAAGCTACAAAGCTACATTTCATATAAACCACATTTAATTGTGTGCACATTAAGTGCCTGTTTATGAATAAAATTTATCAGCTTATACAAATAGTCCGTTATAGTTGTGTGTGTTATCTCTCTATTATCGATTGTTTATACATTCACCACAAGGAAACCGTGCTTGCACGCGTGTGTACATGATCCTACGCGGAGAATGCTTGCTCACGTCCTTATAAAAAATTCAGAGAATGGAAACTCATAAAGTCAACAAAAACAAACTCATCTATACATGATATATGTCAACAAAAACACCGTTTTTTTTTCTTCATGCAAAATTGTTGAGCGTGTCATTTTAAACACCACAACTGTATCCGTGAGTGTGCACGTATAAAGAGGCCGTCCTGCCCCCCCCCCCCCCCCCAATAATGTTGCAGATATATACATGTAGTATAGTGTACATGCACTAATAGTACATTATTGCTTCTTTATGCTTGTGCCTCTTCAATATAATTACATCTGATAACTTTTTCTCGCTTGTCAAGGAATTTGTACATGATAGTGCCCTCTCCCAACTGAAAATATTTGGTTGTGTCCCCCCCCCCCCCCCAACTGAAAGACAGTGCTTCCCACGGGCCTGTAAATCTAATTCAGTTAACATTGTCAACAATGTACTCATGGTAGAGCATAGCCAAATCTTTACAATATTTATGTTTCAATAAAAAAACTATCACATTGTTTGATTTAAAGCAGATGTCATCTTCCGGACACCAAGTGCATGGACTGAAATTTAACTTCAAACTAGAATTTCAGTCTCATGTTTTCTAAGACGCTGGCTTCGAATTTCATTGCCTTTCATCAAATGAAATAGAAATTAAGAAAGCTGCATATTTCCAATCTTGCCATGCAGTTAATGGTCCGAAGTACACTCGAAGGGTAGAAATCTTTCTAAAATCGCTGCTTCCTGAAAGAAACAATCACATAGAATACATGTACATGTATTAATTTTGATATTACTCATAAATATACCTAGCCTAATGACAGAACTTATGTTTGTTGTATATTTTCTATTTACTCTCTCTCTCTCTCTCTCTCTTTGTGTGTGTATGTGTGTGTTTAGAAATAAAATGCAACACTTATTTTACATTTTTCTTACGACTAAGACCAAAAACTTTAGATGATTGTAGAATCTAACCAAATTACTGAATGTATTAAAAATATCCTGCATAAAGATTAAAACCATTTTCATATTTTCCACTGCTTGACTTGGAGACTAGTCCTTTTGATGAGGCAATATAAACCGAGGTCCCATGTCGCAGTACGCAAGAAAAAGATTCCTCATAAGTACCAAGTACTGGTCTAAATTTGCAGCCCTCCACCGACAAGTGACAACGTCTCAATATGAGTGAAAATTTCTAGAAGGGACGTTAAACAAACAAAATATTTTCAATGTTAAGGTAAAAGATAAAGTTATTTAGAAAATAACATTTTTGTGTTAGTCGTAAATTCATTCGTAAAACGGGCCTCTGGATGTCACTGTTGTGTTGCACACACAGACGGTATAAAGAAAATTCATGTTAAGTGCATACACTTTACGTAATAGCACGAGACAAGAGGTCTTTTTACATGTAGGTCAGCTGAGTCATTCAGGTGACCTATTGCTACTTGTATCTGTTTTCGTCCGTCGTCCTGTGACGTGCATTGCACGTCGTTATATTTGAACAAATTCAGATTCTTTCTTTTTAACCACTGAACCAATTTCAACCAATATTTTTTATTTAGCATCAGTGGATGAAGGGGTACAAAAATTGTAAATTTTGTGGTCCCTGCCTCCCGGGGCCTGAGGGGTGGGATAAAAACATCAAAATAAGTGCTATTTTTAGAAATCTTCTTTACTTCTGAACATCAAACAGTTAAACTGTTGGCATGATTGTAATAAGCAAGAAGCCCTCTACCAAAATTGTGAAATTCGTAGCCCTTGGGGCTATAGCGAAAGTGCAGAATTTTGTTTTAAAAATCTTCTTTTCTGGTCTCCCTGTATATTTATAAAATAAACTAGGTGCATTGTTATGATGACCAAGGATGCCTCTTCCATAATTATATAAAAAAAATGCCCTAAGGTCTGGGGTTCGAGGGGATGGGGAGTTGTATTATTTTTCTTATGAAAATGCATTCATTTATATCTTTGAAATTCTTCTCCTTGGTATTAAGCATACAAACTAAGTGTATAGTTATAATAAGCAAGGGTGCCTCTTTCAAAAATTGTGAACCTCATGGCCCCTGGTTCAGGGATTCTTGTATTACTGTAGGGCAGGGCTCTATTGATTAATTACATGTAATATAGTGAAAATGCATTAATTCTTAGGAAAAAAATTCTTTTCTGCTTCTTTGTATTTAACAGATAAATTAAATTAGAACTTCTTCTGAAATTGAGAAATTTGTGGCCCCAGGTTCAGGGATATTGGGGTTGGGGATTACAGGTGGGGTTAGGGCTCTATTGATTATCTTGTGTACGGTAAAAACATTTATGACATATGTGTTTATTTACAGGAACTGTTAAAGTTTCCTATAATCACAAAAAATAGAAATAGTTTTCTTTAACACATACATGTATGATGCAGGTAATCTTAATCTCAGTTTATTATTTCAGGTTCGGTATGAAGAAGTCCAATTTCGTCCTTGCCTTTTGTATACTTTTTGGAATAGGAATGTTGTATTTTCACATGAACAGACCCTCAACGAAAAACACATTTATAAACGTCAACTCCTTAAGGCAGCCAGAACCTGTAGCGGTTAATTCGTCCCACCAAGAGTCAGTATTTGATCCTACTGATTCTAAAAGATACGAGAAATATCTAACAAAATACACACCAGGATACGATAAAAACTGCATGTTGACATTGCCAAATAAATACATAGGAGAAGGAGATTTCCCGCTCAAACTTCCAGGAGACAATGAATTGAATTCGCTTTCTGATGATGTCATTTCTTGTTTGTATCATCGTTACGTCACAACTATTCAAACATTCTGTGCATTCAAGGATCGTGCAGGCGAAGTTAAACGTAATGGTTGGTACATTTGTGCTGATCCTGCTTACATACCCAAACAAAATTGCATAGTTTTTCTGTCAAACAAAGCTTTCCCAGAAAGCGCATTTTCAGCCGACATGGTTTCGCGATACAAGTGTCAGGTACACAGGTCACAATTTTCAACTGCAGAAACATTAAAGTCATGGATGGAGAAGACAAATACAGGAGATAGGATAGTAGATATATTCACAATGTCGATAAATAGGACTTCGGATTTTGCGTTTATCAAAACTATGATCAAGGACAAATCCATCAAGAAGGTCAAACAGCTCTTACTCGAGCTCCATTTTGATCCAAAAGTTACAAAAACTGAGGAATATATTCAAATATTAAAACACTTAAGATTGATATACAATGAAGGCTTGAGGATAGTATGGTTTGATCGGCTAATTCATTGTGCTACTAACAGATTTAATAAATGTTATGCAATATATTTCGTCCAACCTAACTTAAGAGATAAGACTAAAGGCACGGCAGTAGTCAATTTTCCAACGGTGGCAGCCATACAAAAAATGAAAGGTAATGAAATTGCCAACTTGTATTTCAAATATATCGAAACTACCCAGTTTTTCTGTCAGCATATCTTGAGAATTGGCAGAATCACTGATGGGGGTTGGGATGTGTGTCATGATCGAATGATGCAGTATAAAAATCCATGTTTAGTGTATTCATTTGGAGTGTTCACAGATTTATCTTTTGACGATGAAGTATCAGCAACTTACAATTGTAAGGTGTACGCTTTCGATCCTACAACACCATTCGGAACTCATCAGCACGCACCGAAGGTTTGGTTCTATCGATTAGGAATCGGTACCAAGTATTCGAAATTCAGTCATGGGTACGTGGCTCCACTTCAGAAAATCCGTTCTGATTTGCATCATCAATCATCATCTATTTCCATCTTGAAGGCTGACGTTGAAGGTGCAGAGTGGTCAAGTGTACCTCATATGATTGATACAAACCAATTACATGACGTGTCACAATTATTTTTAGAATTCCATGGTTGGGGAGATTCACCCAATCAACTGATTCTCTTAAAAAAACTTCACGATGCTGGGTTCCGTATTTTTTGGTACCATATAAATCCTGCATGTACTTTCAATAAAAATCTCCCACGCCGATCAAGATGTCAAGAAGTATATTTTATAAATACAAAATTCCAACCAAAATAGAGAACAATTGTTGAGTTAGAGTGAAATATTGTTCATAACATTGCTTCTGTTTGACTATGGCATTGGTAAGAGTACTTTCTAAAGAAAATTTTCATTGATTACCAGTATTTAATATCGTTTTTTTTCTTTTTCTTTTTTTTTTTTTTCTTTTTTTTTTTTTGGTGTGATATTTTATTGAAAAAAAAGACGAAAGTCACAAGCCTTATTTCAATTTAATATTTGACTTGAATGTACCTCCATACATACCCTGTGTATCATTCCATGGCAAGTTTTGATTATGTTAAAATCATTCCATTCATCGATTGTACTTTGTTTTCCTCCACGTGGTCAAGCGAACATGTTTGTGCTTTTTGTACAGATTAATGGCAAATTTTCCTGTACATACTGGTCCCCCATCTTTTGTTGCTGTAAGGTCGAGCACTGGCAAATTCCATTATTTTGATAGTTTAGCTTTTTTTGCTTGTCAGTTTATTTTGGGAAGTCCTCCCCCCCCCCCTTCCAGTTTTTTCGCTTTTCAGATTTTTTGGGAGGTTGCCCCCCTCCCCCTACTTTTGAAACTGTTGTTAGGGCCTGTGGTATGTGTGAGAGAATGTTCACCCCTGTTGTACCTACGCAGTAATTTTAATGCCAATATGCCATGATTTTGGACGAATTTACAATAAATTTTGCATTGCTGCAACAATATTTTTGCATGAATCATGAATAGTATTTAACATAAGTATTATGAGCTCTTTCATTCAAGTTAAAAATCTAACACACAACTGTTAGCAGCTTGTAGCCTAATTAATAATTAACCTTTATTTAATGAAATCTCGACTTAGTTATGAAAATGAATAAAATATAATCAATATTTTAAAGATGATCAACATCATAAAGTTGTAAGCGGATGAACAATTGTAAATGAGAAAGATTTCTTGTCTTTAACAATTGTCAGTAAGATTGCTTGTATATATGCATAATTAAGCTAATATAAGCATGGTATTAATTATAAAAAAAATATACCCATGCATATATAACAATACGTATGTACACGAACATGTAATTTAAAACTTTTTGCCCAAAGTCTTCAAAGTGTAGCGATGAAAGATTATATCCAATGTCGATGACTTGCCTTTTCGAAATACTTAATTGGGTAAACATTTTAATCCCCATAGCATAATTGTAACTCACCTTGCAATACATATTTTGGATGTACATGTATATGTTGGTCATAATATTGTAAAGAATTTCATGCATCATGGCATTAGAAATAACATTTATTTTATTTTATAGATGTACTACGAGCAACATGTTCAAAGTTATTCAGATTTTATGAGAGTGTTGTGAATATTTTCTGTCATTTTTTTTTTACGTACAAAATTCATCGGTGTTTCATTTAGTTGTGAGAGGGAGATAACATGTGTTAATTATTAAATCGTGCTTCATATACTGAAGTTATCTTATTCATGAAGTGTAATAGAATATATACATGAATGGTAAGCACGTTAGAACTGAAACCTTTTTTTAAAATTATTTTATTTTTTTCAACACGATTCATTCTATACAAAATGTCCATTATCTTTTCTATAACAAAATTGTGTATACATGTATATAGAATTACGAGAGAGAGAGAGAGAGAGAGAGAGAGAGAGAGAGAGAGAGAGAGTTACAAAAATAGCTGGTTCCACCTGTTAATTTTGTTTAAATCCAGTTTTAATATTTTTTTCACATTTTTTTTTCTGAATTTCTATTTTTATTTTTCTTAACATATATAAAACAAATGTTATCTACGTTTTTTTTTCAAATTGTATTAACTTTTTTCTACCATGCATATTAAGTTTCTATATTTCAGCATTTTGTATTTAAAAAAATAAAATATATCACGTAAACTGGGTATCGGCTTAATCATTCAATTCTCGGATTTTACCAGACTCGGGTCTACATAATAGAACTTCAAAAATGTAAGTTTTACAACTAAAGCAAACTGCATGTTGTAATACAAATTAAACCTACCTATATTAATTTGCATTAACAACTTCAATTATAATCATTTTTAGAAACACAGGTCTAGGAAGTTTCTTTTGAACCCACATTTTTAGTGCTTGATAGACTTCTGCAATACCTTAAAAATCAGTAATACATGTACATGTACATGTTCAGCTGTAAATTTGACTTTCTAAAAACGCTCGCTTGACAGCTACATGAAATATGGAGATAACGAACAGTAATACGCTGTATAATGTATAGTATATACCACACTTACCATGTGCAAATCTTATGTGTAAATATTTATGTACATATTTTGTATACCCATGACATGTAATTTCTTTGGTTCAAATAAAATGAACAAAACAAGCTCAAAAGTCCATTGAAGCAATAACAGTCGGGAAAGGAGCAAACACGGACCTTTAAAAGCAACAGAGGTCGGATCAGGTGCCATGAAGTAGTAAGCATCCCCTGTCGACCGGTCACACCCGCCGTATTGCTCATTGTCATGATCAGGAAAACGGAAAAATCCGTAGACAATCCAGAGTGTAGATAATGGCCTAACAATTAGAATGAAAAAAAAAAAAAAAAAAAAAAACGTCTGTCAGCATTCAACTTAATGATAGATTATATATGCTGACCAGGTCATTGTATCGGACCATAGAACTTGCGAAATGTTGACTTCAAACAAGACTGTTGATGCCTAATCAATCTGGAGGGGGTAAAAACTTCAAATTGAATTTATAATACACATTCGAATCTTCCTAGGATTTTTTTTTTATTATGCAAAGCTTATTATCTCATGGACCTTCAAAACGAAATCGTTTATAAATCCTTTTAAACAAGAGCAGGATCTGAAACATTCCCTTTGATGTCCCGAGATCGAGGATTAAGGAACATATTGTTTTAATTTTGTCATTTCTAAAAATCTGTCATTCTGTAACTCTGTATTCCTCATAATTTTTTAACAATACAAGTTAGAAACTTCAAAATTTGCAAAGTTTTAATTATATATGACGGCTTCAATATCTATCAGTCACCATGCATGTCTATATCTATGACCGTCTGTCTGTCTTTCCGTCTGTCCCTGCAGTATTGTTCAGGCTTTAATTTTTTAATGGAAACTCGCTTAATACTAAGGTTGTTTATGACCTGAGAGTATGGCAGCACCTTAAATCATCGCCATTTTGAAGTTCAAAGTCACTAGAAAAATGTGTCCGGCTCATAACTTTCAAATATACAATCATTGAAGTTAATTTTTCCCTCAAAGATTACTTATGACCCGAGTTTATATCATAACCTTGACCTAAGATCATTTCATAAAGTTCAAGTTACTGTCAAAACTGTAAAAAAAATCCTCTCCTGGGCATGTCTTGTAATGCATGGAGAAACATTGAAAGTTCCTAATTGATACAAAGATTGCATATGACCCAAGCTTGTGACCTTAATTTAAGTCATTTGGGCAATTTCAAGGTCTCTAGCAAAAAATGTGTATGTTCATGTCTGATCCATAGTGGAGAAATATTTGAAGATGATACACGACCAAAAAAAAAATGCTTATGACTATAGAAGGTGTGTCATGATCTTAATCCAAGGTCATTTGTTCAAATTCAAGGTCACAGGCAGGAAAAAAATCTCATTATCATCTGTAATGTCCACTCTCGGTCCATTTGTGTTTATCAAACATATTTTTTTTTTTTTTTAAATATTCTAGCCATACATGGGTAATCAAGGTCGTTGATATACTTATGTAGCATAAATCTGCAGTTCATATTCAGGGAATGACTTGAGCGTATCTTATAAAAATGGCTTTGTTCAAATACCAGCGAATTATATTTTCATATCTTATAAATTACATTTTATGACTAAAAGTACTCCGCCTTGGAAATGAGATCTTACTACATGTCATGTCTTTATTCATTGCAAACTGATATATTTTGTAAGTACATGTAACTATGAACTGTTTATATAAGAAATTTAAAGCATCTTTCGGAATAAATCTTCTAGATGTTGATTGGCGGATCGCAGATCCTCGCACAAGTCCCGCCCACCATGACGGCGGTAACTGAGGGGTGCATTTCAGATGATAATATAATTGAATCAACAAGACTGAGTACTCATCTCTAAGCTCAAAAAACTTTATATGTACTTTTTTCCTATTCCTGCACAAAATTTGGATTGTATCTCGTCAAATAAAAAAAAAATTCAACAATAACTCTCGAAATTACATATGCATGTTTATACTGCAGAACACTTCGAAGTCTTGACCTGTTTCCTGCACTTTGCAGTAGTAGACGACAATGCTTTCAACAGAACCTTGTAACAGTGTATAAAACACAATTATGTCAGTTTTAATAAGAAGAATTAAGACCTGTATATGTACCAGCATAGTGCAACCGGTGCCTTAAGCTTTCAACTTTAATTAAGTTGTTTTACTGAACGTTATTAGGCATTGCTGTTTTAGTCTCAAGCAACAGTAACCTTTTGATCGTCTTCTGGATTTTCATTTTTCTTTCCATAATTCAATGCTCTGTCGTAATCATCAGATGGCGTTGCTGAAGATGGACCTGGTTTAATATGATCGTAAGGCCCCCTTCTATCTCTACATATTTTGTCTGTTTCATTCAAATGATTTTCACCGACTTTCTCTACTTCAACCTGATGAACTTTTTTATCTCTTTCAGCATTCGTGACTCGACATTCATTTGGACATTTTTGCTGAAATTATATGCATATAAAAAAACTTACATGTAATGTGTGATCGAATCATATGCATCTGTGATGTCACTAGCATGGACATTCTTTTTTTCATTATACAAATAACTATTCTTCTTTTCAAATACTTATAATTACTTTGTATAGAATATTTCTTTTACCTTTTCTTCGTTTATTTCCTCATAAACATCGCTGTTTTTGTTTTTGATTTCTACAACTATTTGGTCAATGGAAATGCCTTCAGTCTGGTACGCTGGATTATATACTTGGTGCTGGCTTTTACCGGATTGCCTTCTGAAATGAAAAGAGATTATTTAAAAAAATGTGTCTTACCAAAATAAAAAAAAAAAAAACTCTTCATTTTCCTCTAGATTTTATTTTTTTGAAAATTTATATACAGAGATCTAAAATCCTAACACCCATATCGTGCATGTTGATGTAACACATATCATCATAATTTGTTGTATAATTTGAATTTACTAGACTGGTATGGTAAATGCAAAATTGAAAACTTGATAATACAGATGTTATATTTTGTATTAAGGTTCATAAACCCTCTGCTCACTCATACAAAATGTTTCTTTGCCTCTTATGATTTTTCAAAAGAAATGTATTTGTTAACTAAAATGCAAACAATTATAGCATAGCTTGGGGGGGGGGGGGGAATGGACAAAAAAGACACTTCAACTTGACAAATTTATAAAGAAATAATAGATATTAATGTCATTAAGAGTTATCTCTCTCATTAAGAGTAAACTCTCTTATATCAGAGTATCAAATTAATGAAGCTTAACCTATACCCCGTGATTTTATAATTCATGATTGACGAGAAATTTTTTCAAGGACTCAATGGACACACAAATCATTTCCTTGACATTTTAAGACATGTACTTTTGACAAGTGGATCTCCAATGAAAGCCAATTCAATGACCCCAAGTAACACGTAGTAATATTTATAAGTAAAAAATAATATCTACAGTGTTCTTAGAATAATGAAGCTTATAGAATGTATATATACAGGCCTCTATGTGACCTCTAAAATTAAGCCGCCAACTGGCTCCTTATGAAAAAAAAGTCGCCAATGCAAATTTTTAGCTGCTAGGTAAATTTTTCTCAGGCACCAATTTAAAAACTGACATTAGTCAATATATATAGACATGTCCATTGTTTACTTATAAATATCTTTGCTCTTTATTAAAAAAATGAAAATGTTTATAGTTTAGTAATTTGACCATCACCAAGCCAAATAAAATGGTCGCCAATTTGGCGACTAAAAAATTTTAAACGCCAATGATTAGGAGCCCTTATATATATATATATATATATATATATATATATATATATATATATATATATATATATATATATATATATATATATATATATATATATATTAAAAAAAGAGACCATCCCGACTTTAATGACATAATTTGCAGAAAAGTCAATTAACTTGAATTTACTTTACCAAAATATGTTTGCATTTAAATTAAAGCAAATCTAGGTTCATTTTTCAAGTTTATTTTTACAATGTAAGTACACAAAGAAAATATGTACAATATGCTTTCCTCTTATTGGACCTACATGTAACATTGATGATTTGAATATTAATCTAGAGAATTTTCATTATGAAGTATACACTGATTTAACAATAAAAGACATTATTTAAGTTCTTATTGACAATGAATAACACATGAAGATGCAGAAACCTAACAGTTATTTTATAATTTTGAACTACTAGAAATACTGTCATACAAAAATAGACATTTGCAAATATACATTTATATGATGTACAGTTATCATTTCGGGTTAACCGTTGACGTTTTGAAAACCCTTTAGCAAGCAAAGTAGTTAATGGCTTTTTGAAAGCAGCATGCAAATTCACGGTAAATGAGCACCAAATCTCTACTTAATACTGAAGTTTGAAATGAGACTTTGGGTCCTGCTCAGTTAAATGGTTAATGGGCAGGGCCATTTTATGAATAAAGTGAACTTAGCCCTTTTCAATAAAGATCAGGGCACATCATGCACATGGTAACATTTCAATCCAAGTCAATCGAGCATAACGCCTTAGAAGAGTAATCATTCGATGCGCTAAATTATAATATCAGATATTTGTCGATTATATTTTATAAAAATAATTTAGAAAAGCAGTGATTGAAGGTATATTTTTACATAAAATCTGCCTGATAAAAAATTGTGTACTTTCCGTTTTTGGATCCAGGAAAAAGATGGGGAATTTTAAAAATTCTGGTTTCGATCTAATTTATTTTTTTTTTAGCTAATCCAACTCAAATAGCAGGAAATAAGTTTTCCTCATAAAATAAGCCCAACAATTCTTTAGATTATTATACCTAGTATGATAGATAGTACTCACCCGCTTTGTTTGTTCCGAATATGGAAATAGCACATAAAAGAGAGGAAGCTAAGCACAAAAACCAATATAGCTCCTCCTAAGGTGGCTCCAGCAACAATTCCAGTTGAAGATTCTTTTTCTGTCAAAACATAAAATTAATGCCATGTTTTGAAATTCTCTAGATTAATTGATCAATGATTGAAAGAGATATGGGCTGCAACTAATGTTATATCTTGTTGTAAAATATATATTTTGCCAGCTTTAAGGTGCTTTTGATTATAATTACAAATACAATGTAAATTGAAATCTTCAGATTTCATGTAAAAGAGATAAATTAAATGCATGTTTCAGTTTTAGCAATGTAAGGGATCATTACAAGGTGCCAGCATTTGCAAAAATCTATAATCTAGTAAATTTTGGCACCGATATCATACAATTGAAGACACAAATGAGGCACAGAAAATTGCATATTAGTGGTCTGCAGCCAGTGACAAATTAACGTGCAAACGAGACACATACAGAATTTCATTTCATGGATCTGCAGCTGATGTTAATTGAACATTCAAAGAAGGAACACAGAAAATTTCATCTTACTGGTCTGCGGCAGATTATAATTGATTTGTTTGTTTTGTTTGTTGTTTAACGTCCCTCTCAAGAATTTTTCACTCATCTGGGAACACCACCATTGGCGGTGGAGGGCTGCAAATTTATACCTATACTCGGCACTAAGGGCCATTGAGGGATCTTCGTGCCAACACCTACTGCGTAACGGGACCTCGGTTTATACGGTCTCATCCGAAGGACAGGTCTCCACGTCCCACAGTGGAATCGAACCCCCGACGTAGGGATCAAAGGAGGCACATTGAATATTTCTATTCTGGGTTTGCGCCCGATGGCAATTGAATATTCAAACAGAACACATAGAAAATGTCATCTTATTGATCTGCGGCCGATGACAATTGAATATACACAAACGAGGTACTTAGAAACTTGCATCTTACTGGTCTGATGTCGATGTCAATTATAAACGCAATGAAGCATAAATAATAATTCATCTTATAATTATTGGTCTGCAACTGATAAAAATTGTATAAATTCTTCATTACCTCAATGCTAACAGGGATAAAAATAAGTCTTATTGTTTTCTGAATGAATTCTGAAGGATTGTATAATAAAGATTGACAAACCTTTATTATCATTGTTGTCCTCGTCAACATTCTCTTTATCATCATCATCATCGTCATCATCATCATCGTCGTTATCGATAGCATCACCGTCTTATCAACATTATTAAAAAGATTTAATTTCTGAATATAGATAAATGAATAAATTGTTTATTGATTCAGTGAGGTGAAAAATACAGTTTCATATATCGAACACTGTTCATACATATATAATGAACTTACATGTATGTAGATGAATATTACGTTTTATATTCAACTATTTACATCCTCAGATATTTACATTTGCTATGTTTTTCTACTAAGCCAACTGTGAAATTGATTTTGAATTCCATTTTCGTGTATACTCACGCGTAGAAGTATGCACGGAGAAACTCGCGCTAAAGTGACGTCACAATGAGCTACAGATACGTTAATAAAAATGTAACGATAAAGGGCAGCGAATAATTCAAACATCGAGTAGAGTGAATTTACCATGCATCGGACACCCTCGCACTTCAGCCAGTTCTTAATTGCGACATCGCTACCGACCGAATATCATCAAAATGGAACTTAACATGAGCTATGTGATTAAAATGTAAATTTTTGACACAATCGTGTGCTATTTATTGAGAAAATATCATTAAAAAGCATTGTTTTCGAAATAGGTCAGAATTCACCATGGATTAGACAATATTCACCATGCATCGGACATAATGTATTTAAACCAGAAAAATATCATACCTTAATCTCGGTGCTTTAAAATTACTGTTATCGAAACATTTTTATCTTTTATTTAAAAATTAACCTTCTAATTAAATTTGAATGACTATTTCGATCCACAAATGTGAAGAGATTTTAATTGCACCACATCGCCTTAGAAAGGCTTTACAATGCTAGTAATATAGTAACTCGTGCCTTTGTCTCGTGGGTTATCATCATCTAGTTTAAAGAAATAAATTGAGTCCACTTCTGGTCGTCATAAATCGATAACTTAGAATTGTATTTTCACTGAAAATTTAGAGTTTTTATTTTCTATTTCCGTAAAAACAGCTGTCATTTGGGTTTTATATGAAAATGGAAGTCATTACCCATGCATCGGAAAGTGTCCGATGCATGGTTAATTTGTATCCGATGTACGGTGAAATAAACATACTAGTAAAATACAACTCTAAAAAATATTATACAAAAATTGAAGTAAATGTTTTTAAAAATTTCTGTAAAATTATCAATCATAGACAAATTTTAATTAGGTCCGACTCGTTCCGTTGAAGTCTATTTAAAACTCTAAAAATTGCATTTTGCTTTTGCCATCAATTTTGGTACACAATTTCGACGATTCGAGCGGATGTTTTGTGCACATTTGATTATGACGTCAGTTACGTCACAAAGGCGGCGTTACGTTGTTTCCCGTATAATTCTCTGAAAATAATTCCATAAATAGTCTACAGGTACGAATCTAGTAGATTAATTCAAAGTTCATGCTACTGTATGTAAACCTCGTACATGTATGAACTAAGACTGCGTATTATTAAAAGACAGCCTAAATTCTGATGTGATTATGTGTAGTGTCTTAGAAAAAAAAAACTAAATACAATACCAATTGAAAGGAATAATTTATATTGAAAGTGTTACTAAACTACTAAAATTCAATCAAAATGAGTCAGCGTAAAAGTAATAGAAAAAAAATTATCGTAAATTTCTTAGCCAAAAACTTGAAGGGTTGTATGTGCGCACGTAATTTGCACCTCAAAGGGAAGTGCGTATTACACCATGTTTGCCGGGGCGAAACTTTTTCAGGATGGAATCAATCCTCAACACTAAAATTTAATTACAGTACATGTATTTTCCTGTTATTCATTATTATTATTTATTATTTTAATCATCATAATTATTATTTGTTTATTTTGTATTTGAATCTCGTGTAGTTTCTATATAAATGCAGGCTAAAAAATGGTGAAATGCATTTAAAAAATAAATTTAAACAAATACCCGGACTATCAGACCTACATGTATATGACACTGTAAACAATTTACAAGTAGCACGTATATTTTTTCTATATAAGAAAAGATCTCTGTGTGTAAGCTAAATGCAAGTGCTTTACATTTTGAGCATGGAAATTTGATTGAGAGAATTCGAAATTAAGAAATGTTTGAGAGTTAGGGCTATATACCAGCTTGCTACTAATATAGAAAGAACATTGCCGGTAACCCCCCCCCCCCCCATTTTTCTCAATATTGGGATATTTTTTTTTCTTCACCGTTTTCGAATGAAGTGATCAAATTCATGTGTTATGCCTGAAATCTTACTGAACATGAACATCCTAAAAATACATGAATTAATATTTTATTACTCGCCGTGTGGTTACTCTCCTTTAATGATACAAAATATGACGTAATCTCAAGGCCATTCTTGTGGTATTTTTATCACAACATGAAAATAAAAATCGGCATCATTACAAAGTTTAAATCTTCACCTTAGGACGGAAACAAGTAAAAACACGGGGAAACTCAGGTTCACTGAAAGTTTATTGCTTAAAGTTGTCCGAAGCAAGGTACCTATCCGATGCATGGTTAACTCACCCTATATTTTTGGTGCTTTTGAACAGGTAAAATGTTAATATAAGGAGTGTTTGCTAGCGCTTCATGAAATATGCCTACATGTACGTGACAAGTCTGTGTGATTTACACACCAATAACCCACACAAAACTTAAAAACATTCCTTAAATGTATTCCCTTATAAAATACTATTTGAGAAATAGTCTATCAAAAACTTTATATGTAATCAAATTTGTGGGTAATTTTCAAATTGAATATTCTATAGTTTGATTTATTAAATTCAAGTGTTTTTAAAATGAAATATGGAGAACACGAACAGTATTCAATCTCAAAGCCCATTAAAACAATATAAATCGGGAGCAGAGCAACCGCGGACCTCCAAAAAATTAGAGGGGGGATCAGGTGCCAGGGAGGAGTGAGCATCCCCTGCCAACCAGTCACAGCGCAAAAAATCAAACCGTCTAAGATTGATAATGTTGATATTATAGGATCAATTTCTATTTTCAAAAGCTGAAATGTGACATATCTTAAAGTATTTTAATAAATGACAAGAAAATGGTATCATCAGAAATTTTTAATAAGGCTTATTTTTGTCAATGAATTAAAAAACATTATACCCGTATTTCCATCCCCTGAATTGCCCTCACGTTCATTATTTCCACTTTCAGATAAAAGGTCGCCTTCGTTCAGTGTACAGTCTAACATGATGAAAAGGATGAAATAAAATTGATGACTTCAACAATCAATCAATATTTTTTTTTTCTTTATTATAAATTGAATATCGTTTAATATATTCTCACCTGAACAATTGTCTGTATAAGAACCAGATGTCTCGGCCATATCAGTAAGAAGACATCCACACAGTAAAAGATTTACTGCAAAATAATAGTTAATAATGTAAAACTGTTAATTTTATTTAGCATGTTAAATAAATCGTACCTTAAGGTGATAAAAAAGTTGTTACATGTAAAAATATCATGAAATTTCAATGATATCCTTAAGCAAGCGAACATAAAAACCAAGAAGAAAGAGAGAAAAAAGCAACCTTTACTTTATCATTGCCTTTTTCGGTTATTGTATTATACTAAACATTCACTAAAAATGTATTTCTGTTTGGAAAAGTTCACAAAGTTATGACCTAAAACTTTTCCTCTTCGTAATATACAAATATGCATGGGTGAAAAGTGTGAAGTACAGTGTAATTACTTCATGAGCTTTTGAAACTGAAATATATAACATTAAGTTCACATTCAAACCATTTATTTCCTTCTAACAATCACTATAATTTGGATTTATTACTCATTCTATCAAAAAGTAGTGCCATTATACTTTACTCCTTGCCTGTTGCGGTTCGTGAATATGTGATTTAGAATCCCCATCAAAATAATCTTAAATAGGCATAATGCACATATCCTATGTAAATAATTGATATTAAATGACCTACCTAATGAAATCTCCATAGACTTTATCAAATGCTTTATATCATGGTCTTGTACAATTATAATAATGATATACGTTTCCTTCCTTATTTCAAAAATAATACTTAGTTATGATAATAATGAATAGACAGAGGAAATTACATAACATTCTATCTGTACAACAAAAGGCGATTCTCTAGAGAACTCTTCCCATTTGTGTTACACGTGATTATACTACAGAAAAGAATTGTTTATTTTTTCCAATAGACGTTATATTTATTTATCATTTGCCTCGAACAAGTATACATGTAAATATAATACAGTGCAGTTTACTTAGTATAAGATTTTATTATGAGTTTGCTGAATATGATCTCTACGTAACTTTGTGTTTTAATATTATCATGATTTTGTTTGAGAATTCAGTAGCAATCAGTAATAAATGAATAATTCAACTAAATATTAAGTAAATAAGAGGAAAATGGATTATATTATTATATTTTATGTGTATAAGAAAATTCATTTCAAGAATTTGTAATTTTCCTTCGTTTTCCGTTCAATTGGTGACGTTGCACTGTCGTTTACAGACATACAAAAGTGGCGCATAAGTGTGTAATCACTTTGTCAATATCAAGAACAAAATAATTAGTTTATAGAAGTCATTCAAAAACTATTACAATATTTTTTCTCTTTTAATTTGCACATGATACGCCTTTTAACATATATCTCTAGAGTCTTCTAGATTCATTCCTGTGAAATATTACAGTACAATTTGTCTAATCTGACATCTCTGGTGCCATAAAAATTGCCAAATTAGATAATATTAAGGCTTAAACATCAAAGTATTTTAAAAACATTCAGCATTGATTGACTTATTGTATGGTTTTTTTAAAGTCCAATTCCAGAATTTTTTCCACTCGTATAGAGCTTTCTATATACACCGGTGAAGGGCTTCAAATTAAGACATTTACTCGGCACTCAAGACTATTGAGCAGTGAGGGACCTATAACTTGCCAACGCCTACCGTTACACGGTGCCTCGGTTTTTAAGATATAATCCGAAAGACCCGCAACTTTCACTTCAAAGCGGCAAAGGATTGGCGAAAGAACAATCGCTTCCTATTTTATCAACTTTGGTTAGTCGCGGCGGGGTTTGAACCCATGACCTTCCGATCACAGAGCAAGTGCTCAACCGACTGAGCTACCGTGACGGTCATTCAGCATTGATACGTATATACTTATTTGTATCACCCAGCAGCAAAGTCAGAGTGATAGCATCTAAAACAATATTGACAATGTCACAGATCAGATCGAAGAAAAATTTCTTTGTTGAGTGATTGGAAATGTAAGAAAATTTCATCAGATAGAAGTTCCCGAAGATACCTTTGAGGTTCTGACTTCTTAAATTTTGCGGGGGCTTAATTTTCGTTGTTTTCGAGTTATATAGAGACCCACGATTCATGTTCACCAATAAATGTAAATTTAATATGCATAAATACTCAACAATACTTCACCCACGAAATAAAATCCGCACTAACCCACATTTTTTTTTCTAAAACCTCGGAAATTTGACCCCTCGAAAATATAATTTTACAGTTATATATTTTTGAGGAGCTAGAAAATATTTTTGAAGAATTTATGTATAGCAAACACAGATCATCCACAACACAAATTTTATGAAGACAGATCTTGTGGATTGGATACTGAGTGCAATGTTGATTAGCAGAAACACTTTTCTGTAGATAGATTACTACATTTGTTCTTTTATTCTGATTATTATCATGCTTCAGAAATAGATCCCACAAATGAACAAGATAATTGAAGTTATAATTTTCGCATTGCAAGAGTTGGCCTATTCTTGTTCAAAAAAATTTTTAATCGTTTTGACAATTTTTCATGCAGGAAATTTTTAATCCTATAACCAGAATTCGGAAATTGGAGAAGTTAGGGAAGGAGAATAGGATAATGATCAATTTAAATCAGTTTGGCTTTGGAATAAAAAAACAACCCTTTGAAAAAGATCAAAGTAGACGTTCACATTTCGGGAATAAAAGATTTGCAGAAAGGTATTTCAGCTTATATATGATGTTAAAGAGTATACCTTAGAAGACCTTCAGAAACATTTTCAAAATCAAGGAATTACATCTAGTATCCAAGGTAAATCAACTTATTTGTCAGTATCCTGATTCTGTTTTAAAGTTGATTGTACTCAGTCCATGCCCTAGAGTAACGAATAAGTTGGGAAACATAAATACTATATGCAGGCCATAGTGGAATATTACTACATAATTACCTGTAATAAGTTGGCGAAGGAAAAGTCGATTCTAAAGTCATATCGTTTGCTAGTTGGTCATAAACGTCTATAATCAGTAAATATCGAAATATAAAACAGATAATTAAAAAAAAAAAAGACTAGAATATTTGCAACGATTCATACATAAGGATCACGTGACGACAAAATTTTCGTTCTCTGGAAAGAAATGGTTTGAATTGAACAGGTTAATTAACCGTTTGTTGTATTAAAAATTTTGTCCCATCGTTTCTATGACAGTGGAAACAGTTTTAATTTAGAAATCTCAAATGTAAATGCATTTGTGAAGTTTCGTAAGATTGTCCAAGCCAACCGAGAGAACAACCGTTGACAAAATTTATCTTTTTTTTAGTTTTCATGGCAACGGTGGCATTGAAAAATCGAGATATTTAATGAACATCTAGAGTTGCTCATCGTTATGTTTGAAAAAGTTTCATTAAGTTTATCCAAGTCATCTCCGAGAAAATGCAAGGCCACTATAATAGGTCTAGAGATAACAATACGTCGTCCTTACTTACGTTCTGGAGGACATAATAACAGCTGTAACCTATAGCCACTGTGTGAGTGTGTTGTAAATTATGTAATAACTTATATCATTAATGGATTATTAATGAAAATATTTGCTTAATTTTGATTTGAAATATTAATGGGATGAATAATCACATATTCATAATTCTACACCAATTTTTAATAGGAATAATTGTTACATAATCATTCCAGGTGATTTACATTATAATATGTAATCTAAAATTTGAAAAGTTTAAGAAAAAATTATAAAGAAACAATTTTAATAATTAATTTTGATGAATTCATACTGTTAAAGAAATAAAGCAATAAAAGCTTGTAATACAACCAATTCAAAAAGTTATATCTTTGTTACATATTCTACTGAGAAACGTGATATTTCTTATTGGCTAGCAATGATTGCTTTGGTTGTAAAACCGCAAAGGAATTTCAAATGCATTATCTTTATGTTTTTATCTGATCGTGTCTTTTTTACAGCGCATTTCTTTATAACTGGAGAACAATTTTTATAGGTGGTGTAATGCTAATTTCGACACTTCTAAAAATTCAAATTTAACTCTATAAATAAAGCATTGCAATTGGAATACAGAAAAAAATATGCATAAAAATAACAAAATTATTTTGTCTCAAGGATATTTATCCTTGTATGTAGATTAAAAAAATGATTAAATATGTTTGACAAAAACATCTGAAGACTTTTGATAGGAATACAGAAAAAAATATGCATAAAAATAACAAAATTATTTTGTTTCAAGGATATTTATCCTTGTATGTAGATTAAAAAAATGATTAAATATGTTTGACAAAAACATCTGAAGACTTTTGATAGCAGTATCCAGCCTACTTAAAGAGGGAAACGCAATTACAATGGGAAAAACAACACGTTTGCCTTCCTTGATTACTTTTATTTTCAGAAATATAAATGATTAGAAGAAGTTTTTAAATGGGTTTATAATTGAAAAATGATAGAATGTGCAGGAAAAAAAGTATTCTTACTAAAGACTAGAGTGCTGGCAAACACACAGAGTAAACTCAGGTGGCAAGACATGTGGGCCATCTTAAAGGCTGGGATTTTTGACCATGCGGTTTTCTCAAAGACAGGGGAGGGACTTAATTTTACGTGCGTTGTATCCCAAGGCATTCACGTTCGTGCACGCTGTGCAGAGCGCTAATCCCTATACACAAACAGTATAAACAGGAAGTCAATGAGTATTACGTGTACAGCTTGTTTGGTCAACATTTCATCAGGAGATAAAATCATAGGATCTCTATATCGAAAGAAAATATAATTAGTAAAAACTAATGCTTTCCTTTATAGAAAATATAATTAGTAAAAACTAATATATTTCCTTTATTTCATATAATTAGTAAAAACTAAGTAATGCTTTCCTTTTTTTTCATATTTATAATTTAAATATAAAAGAAAACAGAAGTCCCTCCAATTTTTGTAAAATAATAGTAACTTATGTAGTTGTATTTTTTAAACAGTGTTATCGTGAAAAGCATTTGAGATTCGATCACGGCAATATCCAATTTTTTTATGTTTAAATACAAGGATGAAAGTCGCGTGGTCCTATTTTTAACAAATGGGCCCTATGGTGAAAAATTCACGAGAACGA